ACAAACTACACTTCAAAGTGTAACCATAACACCCTAACTACTACAATTAATTACTTTATTACTATTTAACTAACGGTGTTAACATCAACATAAAACTCAGCTCAGCAGACAGCACCCAACAACACGAACACACAATCACGAATCACAACACAACAACACAATCCAATCGACGACGACGACAGACGACGATAAACAAATTTTGAAAAAAGTGACTCTTTATAAAAAAAAATAGTAATAATTAGGCTGATATTATTCAAGCCTACTGAACAAACAACCATAACAACATGTAACTACCTAAATAATTTTATCGAATGTAAGTTAATAAATTTCGGTGGATATTTTTAAATCCGATATTTATTTCCACAGATAAATATTCTTTTAAATAGTTATAAGTTAGTGTAAAGCGTTCTTATGCGTAAAACTGTTTACTCCATGGATGAAAGAAATAATAGACAATTTGGTCTCTTTGTCTTTAAAGCAAGAAGCAAAATAACAAAATTGTTGCTCGTAAAATGTAAACAAAAAAAAGAAGAAGAAGGTAGCTCCTAATGTTATTCTTATGGGGGAAAATTAAAATGGTTTTTTTAGGATTAAATAGTAATTACTGAACAAATATGCTCCAAAAACGATCCCCGGCATGATATTATACTATAGAATCTTTGTGCAAAACATCAAGTTGATAGATGTAATCGTTCTCGAGTTTTTGTAATCCATAGAGATGCTTTTCGTACCAGTATGAGAATTCACTTCGTTCATTCAATTAATTGATCTTAATAAGTTCAAAAACAAAATTGAATTGTTGTTATCATTTCTATGTTAAAATCTCCGCAGACGATAACTTTGGTCCCCCTCGATAAAACCTTCTTCACGGCTAATTCAAGTTTCTCAAAAAATATATATATGTTGCCATGAGGTGACCTGTACAATGATATAACATACAAATTGTCTTTAATTATTTTAACACAGCTAATTTCTATGTCTATTTCTGAACTAAATTTACTCATATCAAATTTACAGAATTCAATCCCCTCTCTAACAAAAATTCCTGCACCTCCGTTCTTGAAATTTTTTCTAATAAAAAAACTACCGGGAACGTAACCATGTGGTGTAAAAACCTGTAATTCCTCAGAAGTAAGCCAATGTTCTGAGAGACATATTATGTCTATTTTATTTTCCTCACAGAAGATTTCAAGTTCAAGTAACTTATTTCTCAAACATTGAATATTTACCTGAAGAAGATTTAATCGAGTAGGAGTATACAATTGCCCAGAAGCTACACTATGATATTGACTTGAGACCGTTTTTCTAAAAAACTATGACTTAAGCTACTATCTTTACCCTTGGTTGCCCGATCATCTTCATTGCCACTCACTTTCACACTAGATTGACTTTTTTCACCACTAATGACACCAAATGACCGGTCAGACTCCGGAGTAACTGGTAGGTGAAGGCTCCCGTGGTCAGTGGTGGTACTCATAGAGAGGTGAAGAGGGACGTCTGATGTCGGCATCTGCTCTCTGCTCACTGGATTAATCAGCGGTGGGTGATGTGGACTCACTGGTGAAGATCGGCTAACAACATCTGCATAAGTTTGTTCTCCTGGTGCTATTGGTGTTAGTGGATCTTCTTCCCTCTGGAGATAAGAAAAGGTCTCCAAGCACCTCTCCATTTCCTTTATGAAGGTGTTGTGATCCAGGCCGTTCCGCAAAACACGTGCTGATCTTTGGTTGTATGCAACAATTTTAATCTGGGCCTTATATGACATTTTTTATAAAATGTTCTACTTTTACTCTAGGTATCCCTTATACAGCCCATGGGAGAGCAGTAGAGATATTTGTAGCCCTTTCTTTTAAAATCATTGCAGAACTGTCCAAAAGCCCTGTCATAATCATTTAGGTTGGGCTTCCCCCAGTAATCCAGCTTTGTTATCAAGCTGTACACTCCAGCTCCATCTTTGACCTGCTGGTATGCCAGATGGTCAGACACACAGTTCCATAGAGTGGGTTTGCCAAATTCCCGTGCGAATGTAACAGCTACCCCAGCTGTCATATGCCTATCATTCCCAAAGTCACCAGATATTGTGTGAGAGAATGCGACCTCTTTGTTGTTACAATGGTCGTTGATGACCCTGGTCATGTCTTGTTCAGTAATCGTGATCTTTTTTCCACGCCCAAGATTTACTGTTTGGGTGACATGTTTGATGGCAGTTGGGTCATTTTCTGTTTGGGTAGCCTGACATTTGGTTTGAATTATATCCAGTATCATGTTTGCCACTTTTCTTTTCCCATTTTTGTTTATATGGTAGCCATGTCGAGTGTGATTGAACTTTTCCAATAGATATAGATCTAGCAGGTTGACATCTTTGTTCTTGTAGACTAAAGCCCGGATATTGTTATTAATTCGGATTCTGTGATGTTCAATAACATTTAAAAAGTTAATAGGTTTACCAACAGGGTGCAGCACTATTATTTTTTTAAATTTATTACAACAGCTAATTTGCAGCCAAAAGGTGAGTGAGCGTAGCGAACGAACTTCAACCAGGACGTGATTGAGCCATGCGAACGAGCTCATTTTGAAAATGAACGAGCATTTGACATAAAAACCACATTAAGACAGGACGACGTCTGTCGGACCAGCTAGTAACAATATAAAATCCTACAATTTTAACTTCAATATTTCTTAAAGTTTAAAAATATAAACCTATACACAGGTTTTTGCAGAGAGCTTGTTGTTTTAAACCTGCGTTCCTATGATTTTTTCTTCAATTAATTAAACTTCTTTTGAGGTGTTACTGGATAAAATTATGTATATACTTATTTTTTTGTTAAAGTTATATGGACTTTGAAATTTTTTTATGGAAAAGGGTCATTTTGAGAAAAGCTATTTTGGGAATTTCAATTACGCATAAACAGTTTTTTTGCATTTAAGAAACAATTTTGGTATCAAAAGAAAGCTTATAGTGTCCTCTTTGGAGGCAATACCAATTTTTATCTTAACTCCGCGGTAGTTTTAATTTAAATAATTGTTTTATCGAAGTGTGTCGTAAAAATCACATTTCAGAAAAGGGAGCTCTTGTCGGCCCTATTTTATTTCTTCATAATATCAAAAAAGATACCACTTGTCGGAACCGCAAAATTTGTGGGATATTTTGTTCTCCTTTAAACTGAACTTTGTTGTAGTTCTCTAAATTTACACTAGAATGCAGGACAATTGATTTTTGGACTAAAGTCTATTTATAAAGTGAATATTAGAAATGAGACCTCTTGTCGTTATGGCAAAATATCATTAAGCGACAAGAGGTAACTTTCCCAGACCGTGCAGAGGCTAACAAAATGTTTTATTTCGACCTTATACATCTTCAATTATTTGATATTTTTACCAATACTGACCTGTTTTATGTTAAATGAGATATAACAATCGATAAAAAACCCAAATTTCAATATTTTTGACCTTAATTACTTATATCAGCCGTAATGAAGTTTTTGACTCACCAAGAGGTCCCTTTTTGCTTTCCACATCACATTTACTTTTAAATTGCAACAATATTTATTTTCCTACATTCACCTGACAAAGAGAATTAAGATTTTTTTTTCGTTTTGAGGTCCCTAGAGGCCAAAAACACCATCCGTTCAAATTCATATATATAGATAGATAGATTTATTTGATCATTTAACCATTATACATAAAATGCAATAGATCATGTCAATAAATAGTAAACAAGGTAATCAGAGAGATACATGCAATCAAGCTAATATATATAGAGGTCGTGCGGAACGAGGTGAAGCCTGAGATTTTCGGCAGGAACGGTCTAAAGCGGGGAAATCCATTGTGGGGGTAAGAGACGAGCCGATCGTCGCCTTGCATAGCGACACTTCCCCCGCCACACCACTATTCCCCTCCAATCTTCACCTCGTTCCGTACGACCTCTACTGTATGTGTCCGTTAGCTTGATAACTCGAGCAAAAATGATCCGATTTTGATGAAATTTGGTATAGATGTGTAAACCTATATTTATTCAAACGAGTTCGTAAACTAGCATGATCGGACTATGGGAACGGGGGTTTACGGGGTTTTATGAGGTAAAAATAGGTTTTTCCCATTTTTGACCCAAAAAACATAAAGTTAAGCAATTTCTTTCCAAACCATTTTGTAGAGCTTAAAAAACAAATAATTTAGTATATTGAAGCGTCATAATGCGCCTAATGGTTACGGAGAAAATTCCAAAAAATTTAGATTTAAAATTCCCATGTTATTCTTATCTCCATGATGTTGTAAACTGTTGTAGAGTAGTTTGCTTGTTTATAAACATATTTTGATCAAATTTGGAAAATGTTTTTATTTTTTACTAACTATTAACATTTTACAAAAAAAAACAGTTTTACCCTCCCTGATGCAGCAAACCTAAGTACTTGTTAAACTAATTCTATTTAAATAGGAAATAAATGTTATATTTTTAAGTAGACATTTTAGTGTAAATCCTATCAGGCAAATGGAAATTCGCTTAGTCTTCAGGTTTGCTGCGGGGGGTATTATTGTGTACATTTAAGTATTTTTAGTTTGTTATATTACATTTCTCTCGTGCAGAAAGTGCCACTTTGCCCACTAATTACACAAATGCAATTCAATTTCAATTTATTTCCATTAGAGTTAATTATGTACTCGGAGTACATAATTAACTCTAATGGAAATAAATTGAAATTGAATGTACTCGCAATGAAATGGATAATATGTAATCTTGTAAATGGTTCAAAAGTATAATGTAGGGAATTAAATCTTTAGAAAATGGGAACTGGGAAGTGGTCACACACTGTTTGAACTTTGTACTAACTGTACTCACTCAGCTTTGTTTATTGATTGAAACGAAACTGAAAACGAGTGACTCTAGTCCTAAGTCTACTCACTCAGTCTGTCTCTGTCTAACTCTGGCTTTCGTCTGTTGTATTGCAAGTGGCAACGTCACATCCATTTATCTGTTTAATTGTATCGTATCTGTTCTGTCAAAGTTTAGAGGTTACAAGAAACTTTGAAACTGTTATCATTTCCGGGACCAGTGGTCAGTCCGATTTCCGTACTTTTTATCACTATACAGTATTTCTCTGTCCGTTAGAGTAGTTTCTTGTTGTACATTACTAAATATTAACTCATTAAAATGACTTCACTTACCAAAGGTATAACCCTACTTTTCATTTCAACTTCTTAATTGTAGATAATATTATTCTTAGGTATTTAGTTGTAGGCCTAATTATTTTGGGTAAAAAACTGCCAGGTTGTAATGCTATAACACTTTAACGTTCTTAACATAAGTTATTTTTTGTGTTATGTTACAAGGAAACCTAAACATAGGCCTAAGTAGGTACAATTGTAAAATGGGGTACAGTTTCTTAACTGGGCTATGCTAATATCGATTGAAACTATCGAATTGAAAATATTGAATAATAATCGATATTTTTAAATATATTTATTATCAAATTAAACTATCATAACCTAGGCTAACCTAACCAACCAAACTTGCTGATGGTGATAAAATCGCATGAAGGTTTACTAATCGAATCGATAGTTTCAATCGGTATTAGCATAGCCCAGTTAAGAAACTGTACCCGTAAAATGTTATTTTTAAAACTAAATAGCCTAGGCCGACTCAAGCGGAGCAAATCAACATCCATTAACGGATTTTAGGATCAACTAGGTTAGGCTTAAGTTAAATGTTTAGGGTACCTATCTAAATTCTTTAATACCAAGGCCTATCTTGTCATTGCTTGCTACCAAGAATCAAGAATCAAGAAGTTTATTGGCCATTAAATACAATGTACAGGAATTCATTAGCGTACAATAGGCTTCGTCAAATAGTTTTAGTACAAAAAATCTTAAGTTTCTAGTCTAAGTCTGAAATGTACATTTAAGGTATTCTTCAATGCTATAAAATGCTTTTTGTTTTAGCCAGTTTGAGATAGGCCTAGTTTCTTTGAATTTTACAAGAGGTAGATTTCTTACAACTAATGGTAACTTGTTAAATAACAAAAATTGCTGGTAACTGTGACTTCTAAATGATTTGTGAAGGCGAATGTAAGGTGTTACAAGATTGTGTTTGTTTCTCGTGCTGTGTTCATGTTGATTACATTGTTCACTAAAATTAACTATATTTTCCTTAACATAAACCAGATTACAAAAAATATACATACATGGTAACGTCATTATTTTAAGACTAATAAAACTATCTGTACAATGTTCTTGATTGTTTTCTAAGCCTACCATGCAACGAATGACTTTCTTTTGCCATATTAATACTCTTTTTGCATCAGCGCTATTTCCCCATAAGCGCAGGCCATAGTTCAAATGAGAATTGAAAACACCATAGTAGACCATTAATAATACATCAGAACTGACACACTGTTTGAGTTTCCTCACTAAACAAGTAGCTCTAGCAAGTTTTTTACATACAAGGTCAATATGGCTACTCCAGGTTAACTTGCTGTCTAACACAATTCCTAACAGCTTAACAGGTTTTAAAAGATCTTCATATTCATGACTAATACTATTTTTGAGTGTGAAGAGAATGTTTTCAGTTTTATTTTCATTCAGGAGTAGGTAGTTTGCACCATACCAAACTTTGCAGCAATCTTTTGAGGAACTAAGCTGCTTTAAAACATTATGGATATTTACACCTTTTTCAAGAATAGTTGTGTCGTCAGCATATAAAACAGAAAAACATGGAACATTTACAGCAAAATCATTGATAAAAACTAAGAATAAGAATGGCCCAAGGACCGAGCCTTGTGGAACACCTGCTGACTTTGGTTGAGAAAAAACATTATTGACTTTAACTACTTGAGATCTATTGCTAAGGTAACTTCTAACTAGGAGTACGCTCCGAAGTCACGTATGAGAATGAACGAAGACCATTTCATACATAAAAAATTGTTATTTAACAGTAGGCCTATCCACATTCATATCAGTTGATCAGCTGCTCAAGCAGTTTTAACTTCATTAAGGCACTAACACCAAATCCATAATACTTTTTCACCAAAGCATTTTCTTTACTGTACTTTGGACTTGCGTCATTAAAGCAGGACCAGGAATCAATCAGGGAGTTGGTATATGAAAGGGACCTTGGTCCAAGGTCATTAGGCAGGTTTGAGAAAATTTACTAAGGAAGTATGTATAATCACTGAATGTATTTCGATGTATTTAAAAGCAGCAATATTGCTCGAAAATGCTAAATAATATTAGGTTTGTCAATCTATAGAAACTCCAACAATTACTTTGTGATGTTTCATTGCTCTACAACATTCAGAAATAAATTATAACAGTGAGAACCATTATACATTGAGGGTAAGGACATCCCTTACATGACCCATAAGAATTATAAACATTTCAAAATACAAGAATTAAAACCTTTTAGGTGTTGCATGGGAGGAAACACTATTTTTGAACCATCAGATACTGCTGAATTTGTTGTGTGAATGATCAAACAAATGTTTACCCGAAACAGTTTTAAAACTTTATATATTTGGATTCACATTTTAATACATTTACCTACGACCGTTTATTAAAATAGCCGTTTCAGCTCAGTTGTTAGAATTTAAAAGTTTCTCATAACATCATAGTTTTATCATAACACAGGTGACGGACCAATGAGGTTCAAGTCATGGTGGAAGGAAAATACATAGGTGTGCTATTCCCGTCATATTCTGACGTCACCCAGATTGCAAACGAAAAATCACTTGATTATACAGTATTGCCGTATTTAAATATATATATTTGTTTTTGATTTGATTGTTATTGTTTATATATTTTTGTTCTAAATGGTGAAATGGTGTTTGCAATCTTGGTGACTTTGACTTCAACAGCAAATTACGGGAATAGCACACCTTTGTATTTTCCTTCCACCATGGGTTCAACTATTGAGATAGAGGAATTAAAATTGTAATGATTCGAACTAATCGGCTCATTTAATTGTCGAGTGGTGCTTAACAATCAGTGTTTGGTACAATGTTTCGTTCCATGATTTTCAGTGGCTATGATACTATAAACGAAAACATAACCTCTCTTCTTAGAAGTTATGAGTAGTGATTAACACTGTCGTAGGTAAAGTGGTGTACGCAACTCGCGTAAATAGTGTTAACGACACTCGTAGAAGTTTTTAAAGCCCTCGCCAAGGGTCGTACCTTAAATTTTCTACTCGTGACAGCCCTACTACTTTACTTTACCATATCATAAGATAGTTTTAAATTCAAAATTATTATGCAGGAGTAAATATTTTGTATCAAGTATTTTTTTCTCCTGCTACTTCACACCCAACCAGCACTTTGCAGAGTACTGTCAGATGGTCAACTCTCTGGAGGACGAGATCTTAAAAATCAATGGTGTTGGTGAGGTGACTGTTTGAAGGGATTTCAATGCTAGGGCGGTGGAATGGGGTTTACCCCAAACAAACACAGAGGGTCAGTATGTTGTAGAGATGGCAGCCAGGCTACCTTCATATATCCTTAATACAGGTGACATTTTCATCATCTGTCACCACTGGCAAGGAAAGATGATCCCTAACATCTCTCTGGCATCTGAAGCCCTAGCCCACCAGTCACGGACTGGTGAGTCTCCAAGGACTACTCTGCAAGGGACTTATCAGGCAATCGTCTTCAGGGAACTTCCAAAGCTTTCCTGAGTTGGGTATCCATATGCCAATTCAGCTCATCCGTCTCAATGTTGGGACCTCAGTTGTCTTTGCCAGGCCACTTTTCAGGGTTACATAAAAAATCAAACTGTTGGGGACATTAAAAGTGCCGAATTTCAAGCCACATTGAAGATGCGTCCCACCATCTTCGGCATTTGACTGTTCCATGCCTAGGACTTTCGCCCACCGCAGAAAGAAGCCAGTTTACTGGTGGAAACCCAAGATTGCAGGACCCCAGGGAATGTGCCTAGAGCTCTGACGAGCAGCGCAGCATGCCAGAAACCGGCCTGAAGGTAATGCTAGATCGGCAGAGCACAAGGCCCCCATGCGAGATGACCATGGTGATATCAACTGGAGTAACATCAGGTGCTGGAAGCAACTGTACCAGGACATCCAGAATAATCCTTGGGTGATAGGCTACAAGATTGTAACCCAAAAGCTAGCGACTTGATCACCCCCTACGGTCATGGATCATGGAACCTGTCGCCGTGGCTACTGTCATTGAAGTGTTATTTCCAAAGCACCCACCGTGACCAGCAAGGGAATTTGGAGATTAGGGCGCGTTACCAGCTTTTCGGGAAGAGGAACTATCCTTCGTTGTCTGATCCCTGAGAAATGGAAGAGCACCTGGTGACTACAATCTTACTTTACATTGTAAAAAAGTAACAACAATTATACAGACGGCTATATTCAACCCTAAACCACTGCCACACAATCAATACTTCTTAGTTTTTTTTATAACTATTTTTATAGTTATTACCATGAACTAAACCTAGCGAAACTCAACTAAGCTACTGTAAGTGTAAAAGATTCATCTTAAAAATAACCTGGGCCCTATGGCCCAAAATGTTAATATTTGCAATTTCATGATGATTATATTTGATCTAGTGAAACATGTTGATCTTGTTCAACATGTTTAGCTGATGGCATTCCTGCAGAAATCTTAAAGCTTGTTGGTGTTCATTAGACTGTTACTTGACATACAAATCAGTTACCTATACTCAAAGAATTCAGTACACAATACAGCACTTGTAATCATGGACTCTGCTATGCTGTAAGTTAGTTAAAACCAATCTTTAAACTTAAAGTGTGACCCTTTTTTACATTCTAAGTGCTATTGAACTTGGATTTTAATGCAATGTAGTGTAAATTTTAATTGGTTGCTTGTTTTTATGGAATTTAACTTTAAAATCTTAAAGAGGGTCCCCAATTTCAAAGTTTTACATCGATGGAAGTATTGTTTTGTTTTAAAATATGGGTCTCTTTTATCTTAAACATTCAGTACATCATGAATTGGGTCTAAAAAATACCTCCAACTCAGCAAACCTGCAGACTAAGCGAAATTCAATTTGCCTTATTTAAATTTCACTTAATCTATTTAAATAGGTAACAAGGTTTGACAAGTACTTAGGTTTGCTAATACATGGAGAGTAATAAAGTGTAATTTTTAGTAAAATACTTAATAGCTTAGTATAAAATAAAAAAATACCGTGGGAA